GAGTATGAAGTAGCCTGGGGTTAGAGCCAAAGCTGCTGCTGCCTTCTCCCCCCCACCTCCCATCCCTGGTAACATCTGATACAATGGCAGCAGCTCAGAGTGAATTAGTCAGCAGGGTGTGGGGGGCAGAGGGGACTGCATGGCCTCGCTCCTGCCCTCTATGCCTGGCACAAGGGGTAGGCAGCAGGGGCGAAAAAGTGATTGGAGGAACAAGCACCTATAGATGTTATTGTGGGGAACTAATTTATCTGTTCAATGCCCATGTTAATGCATATCCACTGGAGAAAAAAAAGTCTTGGATACATAGAACACTTGTGTGAGGTTCATGAAGTTTTGTGGGGGTCGGTTCTGCAGACTACTTTAAAAGCATTGCTTAGTCTGCTATATTTCCCTGGGGCGTCCCCTCTTTCCTCATTGGGAATAATACTTGTACTGATTGTGTTTCCTTCTTGGTTCCTATTGGTACAAATACTGGGTTTTGAACTAGAAATGACTTCACCATAGAACTCCCTGACTTGTTCATGTTGTAAGGGAATGTCTTCTGGGCAGTGTGCTTTTCATTCGCTTTACATTATTTGTTCTAGTCAAACGCATTAACGGTTGCTTTAACCATAATACAAATTGTGACTGTGTTTAGTAACAAAACAAGTCATAATGGCTCATACTGTGCAACTGTAATCTCACTTTTACCATGTTTAGAATATAATGCAGCTTATAAGGTCAGTCCCTGGGTGTGCTGCATTTATGAAGCTCTCTGTGAGCTAATAAATGGAGCAGTACAGGTGGCAAGGCATTCCCACAAATTGGCTGTTTTGTGAAGCCCAAAAAAATGCCTTGGTATGTGGGTTTGTTGGGGGGTGGCTTTTTTTCTTTTCCACTTTTTGAAATCAAGGTTCAACCGAAGTGAGAGAGGCTTCCCATCAACACTTACTAAAGCCATCGTTGAATGCCTTTTGAGTTTGCTTGAAACCTACCCAAAAGTTGTGACAGGAGTTCAAACAGTGATCTTTCCAATTTGACTTCACAGAAATAAGTGAAATACTTTCTGTAAGGAAAAGCAGGCACCCTACAGAATAGTAGACAGGTGTTGTGGGAGCTGCGTCTTGTCCTGGTAGTGTTAGCAACATGTGAGTGAGCAAACTGTTCAAGGCCACACTTCCACGTTTAATGTTACAATGTTACAACACCACTGTTATGAACATTTTTTGCAGTGTATTATAAAAACCTGTCTGTCATTGCAGTGGATCTTGGGCAGAAGTGTTATAAACTCAGCAACTTGTTAAAGTAAATCTGTTCCAACTTGGCAAGTTGTACACTTCTGCCTGGGCTTCCTTTCAGCTGGCAATACATGTATTCAGCTCTTGCCCCTGCTAGCATTGCATCAGAGATCCATCAATATCTTGTTGGTCTCTGGCCAGCTGAGAGCACATCAGCTCTGTCTTCATGAAGTCATTCTTAAAAAAGCAGCTTGGTAGTAGTGCCTGTGGATGAATGCAGCAGTAGATGATTTCTGGTTAGGAAATGGGCAGACAGAAAGAAAAGGTCACAGAGTTGTGGGTTTTAAAGGACTGGGAAGATATTTGATGACTGGCTCTTTATAACTGGCATTGTGCAAGTCCTTTATGCACAATTTTGTAGCTGCTGAGGGAAATGTCGTCCAGGTCTCTTATATCCCAGTGGTGCCACTGCCAGCCCACTTCGTTATGATTGCTGATCATCATCACATGAGTAAGTGTTTTCACATGTGGGTGAGTGAAGGGTTGACAGGAATTCCCAAGCTGTTCTTCAGGTTAAGTAGTGAGATGTGCTTCATGTAAACTCTAGAGCTGATTGTTTAATCCAGAAGAGTAAGGGCAGCAGTCTAGTTAAGGAACGCACTTACATGTGCACATTAGTGCTTGTCATGGGTGGGGAGGAGGAACTAACAAGAATGTAAAAGTTTACTCTTAAGGTGCCTTGGGGAGACTGCACTGTTTTGAAGTCTGGCTTCCTTGGGGCCTGTCAGTGGTGCTTTGAAGAATACATACCACTAACACATATACTCAAATCCAAGATGAGGTTTTCTTTTTCAGTCAGCATCCGGGGGGGCCTTGTCTTGGATTCAGGTACCAGCCTGGGACAGACAACAGCTCAGCTATGGTTTCAGCTCTGGGCTCAGGCCAAAGCTTGGAGCCATCTCCTGCCTGCCCCAATCTGGGATGGCTCATCTGGCAGGGGAGGGGGCTCACAGCTGGGAGAGCACAGGGGAGACCATGGGGTATTGGTGGTGTAAGAGAACAGGACATACCCCTGTGTGTGGTTTGCGGGGAGTATGGCAGAGACTATACAGCCTGTGCCCCCTCCCCCTTACCTTCTGCTCAGGTCCCTCTAGCCCTGACTAGGCCTGGCCGAAAACTGCCACTGCTTTTCCCTGGCTGGGCTGGGCTCCAAAGCAGAGCTACAACAATAGGTAAGTTTGTAAAAGAAGAGGGGCAAGGGGAATGGGTATGGCCCCTTACCCCCATTGCTGCTGCTTTCCCTGCCACAGCAGCGGTGAGGGACAAATTTAAAATGGCCTTTCACTAATATTATTGTATACATGGAAAATTATAACACAGTTATAATTTTTCATGTATAGCATGTAATTTTTATTGGGGGAGGTCATCTTAAATTCAGAGTTGTCCTGGATTTTCATAAATATGGTGTATCACACAAGGTCTTGTTCTTCCTACATCTTTATTTTTATTTGCGTTTTTTCTGAATTCGTTGCTTGTCAGTGAGTTAGATGGACCCTACTGTGAGGATGATTCTGCAGTTCAGTTACTGCACTGAGTAAAGATGCGTTACGTTCTTGTTTCAGTTCTCCTAACTGCGTTTCTGAGAGAGACCTGGCAAACTACTTCTGTGTGCCTCAGAACAGAGAGGTTTCCTGGCCTTGCAGGGCTTTTGGAGGTACTGGGGTACTGCTGTGGTAGTCACTGGTGGGGGACATGTGTTTGGATGTCTCCTTTTGAAGTAGTGCAGTTTCTGAATGTCAGCTTCTGAGACAGCTCAGTTTGGGTATTCAAAAAATACAAGCCCAAAGTCACAAGTCACTTATGAAAAATTTGATTTTTTTTCTTCTGATTAATTAGATCATTGTTCTCCTACCTATGCAGGGTTTTTTTTCCCCTGTCCTGCATAAAAGAGGGATTTGTGAGTGTAAGGAACAGTGTGGGCAAAAACAGAAAAAATGGTGCAAGAGAGAGAGAGAGATTCAAGGCATTACATTTGTGTCGGGGAGTGGGGGAGACTTTCTCCTGGTACAAAGAACTAATGTACCATTCAAGGAAGGAAGGAAACAGTCGTTTTATACCTTGCTGTGGGTGGTTCTTGGTACGTAATAACTGGCATTAAGTCCTTTGAATGAGTGTTTTTCTTTTATTTTCTTCTTTGGCTTCATGTTGAGAGGAGAGAACTAGAGTTTGCAGCACAATGCAGGTGACTGCAGTGTAGTGTAGAAGGACTGAAGTTCACTTTAGTTAGCTCAGGTACCATTAACAGTTCATACACAGCAGCAAAGAGCTCAGCACAGGCTAATTTATCCTGCTACTTGGGTGGGTTTGCAGCCCACGCTAAGCTCCATGGCATCACAAGTACCTTAGCCTTGATACCTGCACTATCTAGTAGAAGCTGTATTAAATATCTGTACACTACACTGCAGTCTTTTCTGCAACTGCAGTGTCACTATAACTTTAGTCAGAGTTGCACAGTGCTGTCAGCTAAATTATAGAAACCCAATGTGATCTTTAAGTCTCTGGAAACTTGCAAGGTTTCTGTATCATTCTGTATGTATTTCATAAAACCTTTGCAAGATTGCAGTGTGAATTGGAATATAATTACTTCTGTGTCCATATCTTTTTTTTAACAAAGAGCTGTTAAAACATTGAAGACTTACTGTAGGAAACTGAGAATTTAATGTAAAATGTGCTTTGAAGAAGTTTGGCCTTCTGAATACAAAGGCATAAAGGAGGGGGAAAAGGAAATTTGCACTGTAGACCAACCAAAGAATATGTTTTGAACTCTTCTGCTCTCAGCAAGAATGGAATGTAAATACTGTACATTTGCTTCCTTTTGTGGTAATTTGACAGGATCTTGATTGCAGCTGTCTGAGCACAAATCTCTGCTCCTGTATGTTTGCTCTTGCAGACAGTGCCTTACACTGGTGATTTAACAATACTTTCCATGCAGTGGTCTAAGTAGGGATGGACAAGTAGGGCACCAGCTCCAGGTGCCAACTTAGGAGGGGCATCAGGATTGCCCCTCACCCTCTGGCAGCCGAAGTAGCCCTACATCTTTGTACTTGCAGTAGATTTAGCTAGGTAGGGTTAGAAAGAAATAGATCTTGGAGATGCACAGGAGTAAGAACTGGTGAAACTTATTATCACTTCAATACCTGGGGCAGGGAAGAAGAGATGAAAATAGCCTGCAGACTATTCAGTTGAGTGATGGGGAGGAAGATGATGTGATACCCAAGGTGACAGAGTTCCAAGATCTGAAGAAATAGATTGAATGCAACTAATATGGATATCTGCATGGGAACTTCTGTAAAGAACTTCATTATTATTTTTCACTCCCTCTCTACCTCCTGGTTTGGAGGCAGTGATTCAGTTGTGCTTTTCTAGAATTGATGTCAGTGGTAAATAAAGAAGCTGAGTGAATGCATACATCTTAACATTGTTCAGAGTATAGTAGGTACATATCAGAAGTATAATGTTTAATTAGATCACAGTTAGCTTATGCATTGTGAATTTGGTTAAACCATGGAATCTGGGACTCATGAGTTCTGTCTTAGACTCTGCTACTGACTTCTTAGATGTTAGGAGAAACAAGTGTTCTTATGTGGTACACAGGTGCATAACTTTTTATAAAAAATATTTCAGTGTGCGCGTTTTTCGCATAGCTCACTTCTAATAAAGCTTTTTGTTGGGGGAAAGAGATACGGATTTACTTACTATTTCTCTCTCTCTTTTTCCCCATAGTTACTATTACTTCAGCTGGAGAAAAAGGTAAGAAATATACTGTTCATTTTCAGATTATAAAAGTTGTAAGTAGGGAGGTCCCCTTTTTCCCTTTATACAACCATTCAAGTATATCTGACGCGTTGAAATTTAGTTCTGTTTACCATGGCAATTTTGTTTTTGCATAAACTCTCCAGAATGAGCAGGTGGGCAAATAAAAGTGAATTGTTGTGGGTAGAAATTATTGAGTTTTCAGTGCCATATGCTTGGGCCTGTCTTTGGAAAAAAAATGAATCTAGTATTCATAATGTATCAGATGTGTCTGTACTCCAGTGGGCAGTATTGCATAAAAAACCAACTTAGTATAATTCAGCAAGTTTGATCAGGTGCAACAAGCAACATTGCCCCAGTAGTCAGATAGGGGATTATTCAGCTCAATTGTTTAAAATTTTAGTTTTGCTCCCATAACTTCTAGCTCATTGGCAGTTCCTGCTTGGGAATACATGATGATGAGCAGTCACTTTGCAGGTAATGGTGACCCATAAAGGTACTTTTCTGGGGCTTGTAGCTTGATGGGTGGTGGGTGGGTTTAGGTAAGTGCCCTTTTCTCTACATAAAGCTTTGAAAAATTTTCTCTGAAAAATTATTAGGCCAGGTCATGGCCCTGAGTCACCAAGCTCTGGAAGTAGAAGCAGTATAACCATGTTGTGCAGCACTGTGCCTGGGCTACTTAGTTCCGGTTCCCAGGGGAGTTAATGAGCCTATACTGATGTGTATGACCTGTTTCCAGTTCTGCTGCTAGCTTGCTGTACCACTGTTGGAAGACCTTGGCTTCTTATGTATCCCCCAGAAGATGTAGCTTCTAGGGGAGAGCATATAGCTTGTTGTTTGGTGGGGAGCACGAGAGAAACTCTAGCATCTAGTGGGACCTTCATGGAATGCAGTGCCCGAAGGAGTGATCTGGCTTTCTTTTCTAAATCTCCAAGCTGTGAGCTCCCTTGAGGTGGAAACTATCTCTTACTATATGTTTATACAGCATATGGGGTCCTCCAAGAGCTCCTGTACTAGTAATTTTTGTGTAGAAAAATACTTTACTCTCCAAACCTTTCAGAATAGACCAGTCATGAATTCCAGCAGATTTCCTTGGTTGATGGAATCATCAGCGGGGATCCTATTTTTTTTCTGCTTTTAAAAATCACAAATTCTCTGATGTTAAAAAAACAAAAAACAAAACTACCACAACCAACAAATTCTATGAGTTAAAAAAACCAAAATCCACATTTTTCCATGATTAAAAATTAAATGCTACTATATATGTAGGTATCAGTTGAACACAATGTTTATAGATATATTTACAGTAAAGGTGCACCGATACATTAGTCTGATATCAGATTGGTACCAATATGAAGAAAATTGTCTACACTGGATATCAGCCCTATGGGGTCGATAATTTGGCCAGTAAATGCCTGTGCTGTGCGCAGCTGCAGCGCAGCACGGAACAGAGCCGGGAGCATGAAGAGCTTCCTCCAGCTGGTAAGTTGGAAGGGGCGTGAGAAGGCAGATCAACACCCCCTGCCCCTCTGGTGAGTGGGGGGACAGGGGCAGGCTCTGCACAGCGGACACAGGATAGAGGTGCAGCTCGTGGGGTGGGGGCAGCTCCTGATGCTGCTTGCACTCTGGGGCACTGGGGAGGCATGTGCCCCAGATCAGTGTGGGGTGGAGCCAGAGCTGGTGCTGTGCCAGGGCTTCTCTTGCCAAGGGCTGGGCTCAGAGCAGGCTCTGGTGGTGCTGGAAAGAGGCTGCAGCCACCCCAAATTTTGCTGCAGCTCAGCTCCAAGCCCCATGCCATCACCCAGTGCAGCCTCAGCTTTTCCTGGCACTTGGGTGGAAGTGGGGCATTCAGCCAGGGCTGTGGTGGCGCGGGGCTGGGAGCAGAGCTGCAACAAAATTTGGGGTGGCTGCAGCCTCCATCCAGCACTGCTGAAGCCTGCTCCAAGCCCAGCCCCCAGTAACCAAAGCCCCATGCAGCTCCAGCTCCAGCTCCACCCTGCAGCTGGAGCCCGTTCCGTGATGTGCAGATCCAGGGGCGTAACCCCCCCTGGCCTGCCACCCTGGGGTGCAAGCAGCAGCAGAATCCACCCCCCATCCCACGAGCCGCAACACTCTGTCCCGCACCCCTCTGCATCCCACGGGCAGTGCCTGCCCCCTTCCTCACTGCAGGAGGGGTGAGGCATTGATCTACCCCAGCTCACGCTCATTCCCTCTCCCTTCCCATTCCACCACACCGGACCCTGGAGGCAGCTGTATCAGGTATTGGATCAGATCTGTATCAGCTGATATGCCTCCTTAAATATCGGCTATCAGTACTTATTCCTCTGTGCCTAGCTATTGGCAATGTACAGCCAATAGGAGGGTGGGGATAGTAGGGATTTTTACGGTCATATTTTTCCTTCCTGATTCAAAGCACTTCACAAGTAATTCACATATACATTATTTTCCACCACTTGGAGCTGCATCTGAAATGTAGAGCAGCAGCAGTTAAGGAGTGAAATAAAATGTAGGTTGTGTCCTTTTGTGTGTCTTTTTCTGGAAAAAATAAGAGCCATATTCTCTTCACATATACAAAGTAGATCAAGAGAATTATTTTTGGGCTTATTTTAAAAACCGCTTGCATGGGAAAGTGAATTCCATGGAGTTTATCTAACTCAGAAACAATGAAAAACAGTGTAAACCCATACATTTTATAAAAACTGCCAAAGCAGATCTGATTTGTGTAGTGATGCTCACTTTAAGATCTTAATACAAAATCAGATGCCTCTTTGAACTTTGTAGCCCTTGTTTACTTTTTGTCGTCTTGCCTCAGTAGAATTGAGTCCTCTAGTAGCTCTCCTTTATGTAAGATTGTAATGGATATAAACAAAATTTGTATGTCTTGAAAGGTATATTTTTTGTTTCATATTTCAAATGCAGGTTCAAACATGTTACAATTGTACTTAGTTATGATTTTCTGTTTTAATTTAGTAGTGATTTCTTGATATTAATTCCCTTCCTTCTCATTTTTAAGATTTATTTCTCTTAGAATGTAGAAATTAAGTTAGCCCTAATAGTCTCTCCTAAAGAAGTGATAAATATTTTAAATGATAATGTTAATGTTCCTATAAATACTGGAACTGCTCTGTACTAAATATAATTAAACTGTGTTTCTTTCTTTTATTTTGAGGGGGGGTTGTTTTTCTTACATATTTGGAACTGATGTACCACCATAAAAACCTTTAGGCTATAAACTTGCAGGGAGAGAGTTCTAATGACACCCACAAGATCAAATACACAGTGGTGTTTTCACAGTCTAAGGGAGCATCTTGGCATGTAGAGAAGGCTGAGGGGGGATCTTGTGGCCTGTTACAAACTGGTCAGGGGGGATCAGAAGGCATTGGGGGAGTCACTGTTCCCCTGAGCACAGCCAGGAGTGACCAGGAACAACGGTCACAAACTAGCAGAGGGTAGATTTAGGTTAGACATCAGGAGGCGCTATTTCATGGTCAGGGCAGCTAGGGTCTGGAACCAACTTCCAAGGGAGGTGGTGCAGGCTCCTACCCTGGGGGTTTTTAAGAAGAGGTTAGATGAACACCTTGCTGGGGTCGTTTAACCCCAGTACTCTTTCCTGCCATGGCAGGGTGTCGGACTAGATGATCTTCTCAGGTCCCTTCCGACCCTAGAAACTATGAAACTATTTCATCTAGCTGCCCTTTAAATAGATCTGAAGATTATCACAAGAATTTAAGAAAACTGTTTATTCGTTAAATGGAAAGTGTGCTTCTGTTCCCCAGCATGTCCATTTTCCTGAAAAATTAGTCTTGGATAAATGTTAAGTATTACACTTTGTCCTTGATACAGTAGGAGCTCTCATGAATTTTTCCCTAGGGTCCTCTTCTTTTAACCCTTAATCAGCGTAACCCCTAATGGATCCTTTGGAAGACTGTGCAAGACCCTCTCTTCCTTTAAAGCACTGTGCCTTTGCAGTACTCTCAGTATCTGCTAAACTATCAAATGAAATCTAAACAGGGGCCCTTTATACATTCCTCTTCCAAATGCTGTCTTGCTTTCCCTAAACTGCTTAGTTTTTCAGTAGTTTTTTTTTTTACTTTTATGGAGAGCAGGAACTTAAGCATCGAAGATAGAAAAATAAGACCACCAGTCAGTTTAATTAGCTGCCAAGTATGCTAATTTATTTTCTGTTAAACTTACAGGGTTTTTTTTACACTTCAAAACAGTCAAACTTTATAGTAACGATTAGTGAATTGCCTGTCAAGAATGATGGATGAATGGCGACTTTCTTGGTGGTGTTGTGCATCTAATTGTCTTATCACCGTGGCATTTTCTTGGGACTTATTTGCACAACTTTCTTCATTACGTCATGTGTTTAATTGTCTTCTCACAGTGGCCCCTTGCGATCAACACTCGTGATCGCGTTGTGTATCTAACTGTTTCCTCACAGTAGCCTCCTCTTGGGATTCATTTGCACAGCTCTCTTGATGTCTCCTCAAGTCCTATTGCCTTCTTCATGTAGCTTGCTCCTCGGGGCTTAGTCCGTCCATCTGTGTGTCTCTCTGTCCGTAATGCTCTTTAAAGGCGCCGGGAAGGGCAGAGGGAGGGGCCAGCTGAGGAGAAGCAGGAGCCAATCTCCTGGCCACTGTGAGGCTACTTTCTTGATGCTGTTGTGCATCTAATTGTCTTCTCACATTAGCCAGGAATGCAGCTCCTGCTTTTCCTCAGCTGGTCCCTCCCTGTTGGTCTCCCAGCACCCTTAAAGAGCATTACAGACGGACTGGTTAAGCCCATATATATATATATGGCCCCCTCCCTCTCTGGGCCCGCTCTCCCCTTTCTTTCTGC